AATATGATTGTTTTGTTTTTTGCAAATTTTCAATGTGCTGTTAGTGTATGGATTTGGATTAATAGAGAGCTAGTAAAGGAAACAATTTCTAGAAGTGGTCTGGCAAATGTTGTTATATTGCTTTGCAAGTTGTCGATATAGTGTTAGCATATGAATTTGGATTGACTGAGAGTTCATAATGGAAATAGTATCTAGAAATTGTTTGTATCTTGTCTAACAAGATTCCATTGACCTGTAAAAAGCGGGCCTAACCCTTGGGGATGCGGTCGTTTCGGGGAAATACTTTAGTTGAAGTGAATGCCATATTAAATCCTGGCCTAAAGTTGCTTTATTTAGTCAAAGACTAGCTTTAGATTATGTGAGGGAAATTATGATTCTAGATTGAATTTGGATCAGTAACTTGAAAGCAATCAGCACAATCTTGGACAAATTGGGGATTGCTTGGAAAAATTCTTTAAACTTGTGGTCTTCACAAATCTTTGATTCCTTTTTTTTTTGGGTGCATGATAGAGCCATCTTTAACCTATTAACCACATAGGACATTGGAGAGCAATGCATGTCAAAATATGATTTCGTACTTAATGGCGTGGCATGATTTGATTTAAGGACTTTGGTTGACTTGTCAGGCCGAGACAAAGCAATGACAACATTGAACAATTTGTCAACCACCTGAGTTTATCATAGAACACTCCTCAGTTTGCCATACTTTGTTTTATATGATACTTTTTTTCCTAATAAGTAATGAGGTCAGTGCGGAAATCAGTAATGCCTAGCTTAATGTGATTTTCCTAGATGTCTATTTGTCTACGGCTCTACGCACAGAGCGTATGGTCGGTTTCTTCTGTCACTAATAAAATATGACGAAATGAGAGAATTTGGAATAGAACTGCTGGTAAATTCAAGAGGATCTAGTTGTCTATGGGATTGAAGTATGGTTACTTACCTGACTGCAATTAAGTTGTCTGGCTATTTCTGTTAACTTCTGTACTACTGTTGTACTAGTATACAAAAGTTCCTTTTGAATCATTTTCTAGAGTTAGAGAATGATCTGAGTGCAATAACTGTTGTATGTTCAGTCAGCTGATTTTTGTGATTTTGGGTATGTAGGTGTCATATGGTTGTGACTTGTGTCCCTCATTGTTATGCTGAAATAGTAATCTTTGAAGTAGACAGAGAAATGGTGGATCCTGTGTTTCTACTTCATTCTTTTCTTATCCACATAGTTACACCTTTTGCGCCAGCTTGAATATCAGGAAATATATAAATACACCACCAACAACAACAATACCTCAGTCCCAAACAAGTTGGGTCAGCTATACGAATCCTCACTTCTTCATTTAAGCTCAACTTATACCATCATCATATAGGAAATATATTAATCAAGATAGAAGGATTTTTCTACTGAAATGATGTCTAAAAATGTCGTAAAAAAGAAACAAACTTTGGTACACAAGCTTCCTTTTATCATTATCGGAACAAGGTTTAGTATTTCTAAGAATCAAGGCTCTATTCTTTTTACCTCTGTATGCTATGTACTCAGTGTGATGAAATCGGTTGTTGTTAGAAGCAGTTTTATCAACTTTTGCACATATTGCCCACTTTGGTTTTTTGCTTCATTGTCTCTTTCACCTCAATATTCGTTTAAGTTTTTTACCACCCTCTCGTTGTAATTTTTGTCACAAGAGTCAACTCATCCCGACATTGACTAGCAATGGTGGCACACATAATGCTTGTAGTTTTTTAAAATATTACGTTTCAGTTGTTCTGGACAATAGGGCACACTTGAAGTATTTTCTGTTCGGAAATTTATCTCTCTGTAAATATCTGAAATCACTTCTCTCAGAAATAAAAACTTTCCCCCTAAATCTAAAGCCTAAAGTTTACCTTTCACTTTTTTATCCATCCCTAAGTGAGTAAAAGGGCGTATTATCTTGTCATATTTCCTAAAAGCGCCGGTTTTCAGCACCAAAGGATTATTGTTGAACACAGTGTTATCTCTGTATTGAAGCGAATTGATCCTTCTTTGTTCTTCCAGCACACTGCTTCATCCTGTTCCATGCTTCATTAATTAGGTTGTTGGAGAGGTAAGCATGTAGTATTCCTTGTTGCTGCTATATGATAATGTTAAAGTTGTTTTCGTGAATTGTGTTAAGATGCTCTGTTGAGTCTGATCTTTTGGTCAAGAAATAAAATCAGATGAGAAGCTTTATTCTCTCTCGGTTTAGCTGCTTATGTGGGGTCACCTTAAGCATATCTGTACTCCTTGTTTGCTTAGGTTTACTGTTGTTATCCTTTAATCTAGGAGGAAAGATAGTGGTTTTCTAGCTAAAAGGTGAATTGCGGTGCTCTATTACCCTCGGAGCTTTGACCTCCCTGTTCCTTTGTATAGGTAATATGTTAATGATGTTTGAAGTCCTAGATTTGAAGTTAAACTCTTGAGTGTGGTCTCTCTGTTTCTCGTTTTATCTCTTGTAATTGTCTTGGAAAACTTGGCATTGATTAGCACTGGTTAGCGTCCGGCATTGTTGTATTTTTGCTTAGCGGTTTGGCTTAGTCTATTTGACATGATTGGAAATGTTTTGTCATTAATTGGGACATATCATGTGAACATTCTTTCCCGTGGTTTTCGTTAGTTCTGTACTTCCTTTCTATTGCTTTATCCTTCTTAGCTATCTGGCAAAAAGTAGCTGTGCAAGCTTTTTTCCATTTGTCGGCGAAATCCAATTCTTAGTTGTATTTACTACATTATTTACCAAAAGTAGTGCAAAATCATACCAGATATTATTTGACGTTTTGTGGCAGCAAACTTGCTGGACTGGTTTGATGTCTTCTTGTAAATTATATTCTGATGAACACTGCAGGTTGAGGGACCAAAATCTCCTGAAGAATTGCTTACTGCACTGCAAAGGGTGCTTGAGGAAAGTGCACCTGTGCTTGTTTCTGCCAGGCTTGAAGCAGAAGAAAGGAGAACTAATATACGTTTGAGGGAAGAGCAAGATGCCGCTTATCGTGCTGCCCTTGAAGCTGATCAGGCAAGTACTTTTAGGTTCTAAATAGGCTTTACAAGTTCAATCTTGAGAACAGGGAAAAAGTAATTTGTGCGTTTCTGAACTGTTTGTCCTATACCAGGCTAGAGAGCGTCAGAGGAAAGAAGAGCAAGAGCGGCAGGAAAGGGAGGCTGCTGAAGCTGAAAGGAAAAGAAAGGAGGAAGAAGAGGCTCGTGAAAGAGCAGCCCATGAAGCCGCTGAAAGAAAAGCTGCATTAGCTAAGATGCGTGAGGAGAAATTACTGTCACTGGGCCCTGAACCCGATAAGGGTCCTGATGTTACTCAAGTAATCAGCTTGGTCTTGATTCTTGTATTTACCTGTCGTTGTCAGTATGTCATAACCGTAGAGATGTGGTTGTTTCTCTTGGTTTTAAGTATGCAACGAGGAAACTTTGAGAGTAAAATGCACATATTAAATGACGTAGAAATAGCTGCTTCTCAGGTGATTAAATTCTTTATTTTCTTGTATCCTTCAGGTTTTGGTAAGGTTTCCTACCGGTGAGCGCAAGGAAAGGAGATTTCGTTGTACTACAACCATACAATCTCTGTATGACTATGTTGATTCTCTGGGATGCCTGGAGGTTGAGAGATACAGCCTCGTGTCTAACTTCCCCCGCACAGTGTATGGTTCAGAGAAGCTTGCTCTGTCCCTGAAGGATGCTGGATTACATCCTCAGGCCAGCCTTTTTGTGGAGTTGAACTCATGAGAACAACATGCTGAATAATGGAGTCTATTGGAAGTTTTGTGCTAGAGATAATAGCTTTTGCTGAAAATGTTTTGTCTGTCAATCAGAATTTGCAATGAATTTAATTAGATGCACTATTGTCTTGTTAACCTCGTTAAATTTCTACTACTTTCTCTCAAAGTAACAGATAATTGGGAACCATGATATATTCTTTACTTAGCTTTTGAATGAAGCCCCAGATATAACAAGTATTTCTTTTGGTAAGTATTGGAAAGGGATTGTTACATGAGTAGCCAGCTAGTTTTACGCTTCACTTTTTCTAGCCGGTATACATAGATTATACATTGATATAAACATATTATACATGAATTTTATATACATTATACATCCGTTGGCTATTTTTAGTTTAAGAAAATAGGTGGGTGGCTATTTGGGTTGATTCTTCTTGGTTGTTACCCAACCTGTCTATATGCAAGCAACCATATCTGATGGAACTCTTTACTCATTTTTCATCACACTGAGTGTTAATGTAACACATGCCAAGGTGACATGTCCTAATGCTTTTTATACGTGATATTTATCGTGAATTGATTAGTCTTATATTGTTTTAACCTACCACATTGTTTCTCCTTCATCTGAAATTGGGACCTGCAAATCGGCAATGGAAAAGACTTCGAAAAGACCAAGTATATTAGCATAGGTGTAACTCAAGGCCTGCTTCTTACCAATCTTAAGGACCACAGTTATATGATCATTTCTAAATAAGGAAAGTTATATTATCATTTCTAAATAAGGAAAGACATCTGAAAATGATCATTTCTAAATAAGGAAAGACATCTGAAAGACATTGTCACAATATTCTTCAAATACTCATTCAAACAAGCTGAATTTGGCTATAAAATCCCAGGCATTATTACAGAGTCACATTAATATTCAATCTTGAGAAGTTTTCAGCAATACAAATTAGGGCTGTCAAATTTGGCCCAAGCCCAAATGACCCGCCCAACCCGCCCAAGGTTGGGTTGGTTATTGACCCGTCCATTTATTGAACTTAGCCCATCTTGACCCAACTCATCTCAACCTATTTAAAGTTGGGCTAATTTTTAGCCCAAATTGATCCATGAGTAAGTTTGTCAAAATATCTTAGAAATAATTTTATTTTTTGTTTAATATTTTAAATATACCATAACAAAAGCAAAAAACCCTTATTTAGTAATTATACAATTTATAAGAAAATAACACATTAATTAAAGTTTAATAAGAGTTGGGCGGGTTGGGTTATGACCCGAATTTTAACCCATCTTGACCCAACCCATCTTAGCCCAAGTAACTTTTGGGCGGGTCATTTGACCCACCCAATTATTGACTCAACCCATTTTGACCCGTCCAAAATTGACCCAACCCGCCCATTTGACACCCCTAATACAAATCACCACAATTTTTGCTAAAAAAATGACATGAAAAATTTAAAGAAAAAACAAGAAAGAGAACACAAGCATATCATAAGTTACACAACACTGGTCATATCTTGCTCTTGTTGGAATGGCAATATCTGTGTAAATCAGTCAACTGCAACTTGGTACTAGCTGCTAATCCTTAGCAATCTCTTTTAAGGAAACCAAACTACCTTCCTCACAAGTTCACTGCAAAACCCAAATTTGAATTCAGGGCTCCTTTCTTCCATTGTAGAACAGAAAGATACACAATGTACATTAAAATACACAGTCTAAAGAGTCGAACAAATCAACCGAGGAATCAAATTCACTTTGAGAGACCTAATATTATTTGTAGTTCACCTTTACATGTTTGTCGATTCCACGAACATTACTGATTTAGTTTTCCTCTTATATCAGGAAGGAATAAACTAATATTATTTGTAGTTCACCTTTACATGTTTGTTTATTTCATGAACAGTACTGGTTTAGTTTTCCTCTTATATCAGGAAGGAATAAGCAAATAATAGCAAGAACAAACAACCATGAACCCCCCTCCCCAAAAAAAAAAAAATTTTTTTGCAAAGACGCACAAAGGGTACTAAAGAAAACTATAGCAACAACAAACAACAATGACAAACACTACGAAGCCCTCATAAAAATGAATTTTTAACAGGATTGTCAGAGCAGGAGTAGCCAAATTCAGAATATGAACATAGGCAAGCTGTATATGGATAGTACGAGCTCACTAATGAAATTACTGCATTGACAGAGACCGCCCTTATAAGAGTTTCATAGAACCATTTTCTACTTATGCAATGATTTTTCTAAATCTTTTCACTGACCATGTATATCATAATTAAAAGGCCGTACAACAAGCACATGCAACGAATGTAACAAACTCTTTATCACAGTCTACAATATACTCCTATTTAGTAGTTATAAAGAAGAAATCCTATTACAATCAACAGGTTAATTCTTACCTAATGATTCAACACAGTTCATGATCAGAAGTCAAAATATGTAATGGATATTGAAAGTTCATCGTTGATGATTTACTTACTTGAATCAAAAGCATAAACTTTAAGCATGTTGTTTCCCAATTCCTCATGCTTTTCCTGGATCTGCTTGGCAAAAGTGACAAGAGGATGACAGCATTTATGTAACTCAATTAGCTGCAGCGTCACACTATCTGCAAATCCTTCTGGGATTTCTTGTAAGTACCTGCATTCTCTGATGTATACACGCTCAAGGCATTGGAAACAATCATCGGTGGCTGTCCAATAAATAAGAAGCAGATCCTCAAGGAGTAAAAACTTCAATTTAGGGAATCCCATCTCTGTTATTTCCCACTCATTGCCTGAGAAGGCACCATTCTTCAATTCGAGCACCTCGAGATTGGGCAACTTGCTAAAAATGTTCGTGTAGTTCCATGGAAGACAAGTGCGGCTAAGCGTCAACTTCTTGAGATATGGTGGGAAAGAACCTGGACTTGGATTTATTAAACACGGCGGATAGTCAAAACCATAATAGAGTGAAACTGTAACCTTCAGTGCCTCGAGCTCTTCTAAATATTTAAGATTATTATGCCATCCCGTCTCACTATTAAATTCCTGTGCTTCACCAACAATTTCCAATTTCTTCACTTTCTTAATCCCTTCAAATATTTCCTTAGTGCAACAAGAAGGTCTCAACCCATAAACAGTTTGTAAGTTTTCCAAAATCGAGTTCTTCACCTCATTTTGTGATGCCAGCTGAGGAGAGTCCAAATACATACACCAACAATGGAGATGCCTTAATTGAGATAATTTCCAAATTCCATTTGGTAAGGAGTACATTCCCCATATACCAGTGTGTATTGGACGAACAACGAGAGTTTGTAAATTCAGAAGTTTAGAAATTGGTAACTTACCAGGCTTCCTAATCCTCAATGCCAAATACCTTAAAAGAACTAGTTCTAGTATAGCTATGGGGAAATGGAGAATCTTCCTTTTCTCCATGTCCAATACCCTAAGAAGTTTGAAATAACAGCGATTTAGAATGATTTTTTTACAATTGACAGAAAAGGAACGTAATTTACTATAAGCAAAATGAGGGAATGGACGGTGAAGATAAAAGCGCCTTAATTGTAGTGACATCCACCTGCAGCCTTCAGGAATAAACCATAGAGGTCCATCAATATCGGTATTCACAAAATACAGAAGATTCTGTCTGTCGGCTTCTTTCAAGCAGAAATCATGAACAAGATCATGAATCATACATCTTATGATTTTACCATCCATACTTCTTTTGCTAACAATAACTAGACTTTTATCAATAAGATAATTTAAATGACTAGCGGCCACTTCTTCCAATCCCTCCAAACCCTTTACCTTTAGGAGCCCTTCCGCAATCCATAATCTATTCAACTTTTCCATAGAAATTTTACTAGCTTTTGGAAAAAGTCCAAAATACAGAAAGCAACCTTTCAGATAGGAAGGAAGATGATTGTAGCTTAAAGCTAGCACTTCTGAGCATTGTTGATAAGCATCAACGTCTGCTAATGAGCTCAAACTTTCAGCTACTTTTCTCCACTCTTCCAATGTCCTCTTGCTAGACAGAAACTTGGCAACCACGACAATCATAAGTGGTAATCCTTTGCAGTTTTTTGCGACGTCCTTCCCGACATCCTCAAATTCAATTGGAAAACCTTTTTCTGCAAATGCTTTTTGGTAAAACAAATTCCAACTGTCATCGGGGCCTAGTAAATGCATCCTGAAAGGATCCTCCGGAGAGCTAGCATATTGAGCAACCTCAACGTCTCGAGTAGTCAACAATACCCGACTTCTTTTACCATCGTCTGGAAGACACAGTCTAATCTCTCCGAACCAAGCTAGATAGTCTCCTATCACTAGGCTCACCAACCAACCTGGACTTTTTTTTTATTATTCCTACCGGATATCAAAACAAACCATAAGGATTGTTTCCAGCCATGAGTTCCCCTATGACATAAGCGCTCTTGGGTGGGGTGGGCCATTCCATCAAATCTTTGAGAAGGGGCCCAATCTCGTATTTGATGGTCGGCGTGGCGATAGGCTTCGTTTCTACGACTGCCTTCCCAGCCGTTGAAAGACTGAGCGAGAACGGTAAGGGGCGCACAAACAAAGAATGTCGTTGTGCGGGGTTCGTTGTTATGATGTTCCATATTCAAATAGCGGAGATTCACGAAGAAGTATTGCGCTATTTACCTGTGAGTGGTATTATTGGACTGATCTTTTGGTGGGAGATGTTCTTTATTTTAGATAATGAAAGCATTCCATTACTACCAACCCAAAGAAATACGACCTCTCTGAGATATACGGTATCCCAAGCGTTTTTGCTCCATATGTCATCCACAACAATCAAATACCTTCGACCCATTAAACTTTGTTTCAAGCAAACGGCTAAATCTGAATCGCTTTTCTTATCAAGGTCTTCTTCCTTCCCAATATTAGCATCTTCAAGGAGGCCTAAAAGCATATTTCTATAACTATAGTCCTCAGACACGGTAACCCATCCACGGATGTCAAAGAAGCTCAAAACTGAGGGATGAGAAAACAGCTTTTTGGCAAAAGTTGACTTACCAATGCCGCCCATACCTGTAACAGAGATGACTTCCAGTTCAGGCGAGTCTCTGGTAAGTTGACTCAGCATGTTTGCTTGTTCAATGTTGTACCCCACCATATCGTTCTCAAGGGTTGGAGCATGCAATCGTGGTGAACTTGAATCAAGGAATTTCCAGCTTGCAAGTTGTTGTTCGGACTGTGCTTGATGAGCTCTTCCTTGAGGGAATCAACATTTTCAATACCTCGTTGTAAGATCTCAAAAAGACTCTCGAGGGCTTCCTTTTGATGGAGTCCATCATGTTGTTCCTCCATTACCACCTTCATCTGTGATTCAACTTCATCTTCTGCTTCATTTGCTGTCTCTGGCCTTTTCGTGCAAATTCTCCGTTTGTTCACCATCAGAATTATCAAGAAGCTCTTGCAGAGAATCAACCTTCTCGTAGAGTAAATTCAAACTTTCCACATGAGTGTCCAATAGATCTAACTTTGATAGCAAAAGCTGAAGCTGTTCTATTGTTCCCATTAGAGAAGCCAATGCAACGTATGCAGCCATCTCTCTCTGTACTTCTGCAGTAAAGGACCTTCAGATTAGCGAATGAATCAATTTGGACTAGGGAGACACTTAAAATGACAGATATGGCAAACACTAACATTGAATTATTGTATCGCATGCAATAAAAATTGACATTGTTTTGACAATTGACGTGATTCACATAGTCTCGGTCCAGCATATACACACAGAAAATACAGTAGATAGATTCCACCAATGCAACCTAACACATGCGCATGCCTATTATGGAATATAAACTGCGGATTAATTGTATTGATTATACCCAAAATCAGATCTAAGCATCTAACATATTTAACAAGTCCCTCATTTTAACGCTTACCTTTCTAATTACTCGGGATGCCCCAACCAACAACTGGTGCGCTCCTCCATACAATATTTAAAAAATAAGCTACTTATCACCAAGGCAAATCGGAGGAAAAGGTACAAAATAACCATTTACAATCCGAATAGAAGAACATGATCATACAAAGATATTTTTTGTCTTATATTACTTATCTTTTAGGTCTTAACATAAAAATCTCTTCTGAAATGAGTGTTGCGTTTTTATTAAGGGGTGTGAATGGGAAATGGAAGAGGCACCTCTTGGATTGCACCTCTTTATCTCACCCTCTCATTGTCTATAAATTTTGAGGCTTGGCCTCATTTTTAACAAGGAAAATCTGAAATCTTCTCCTCTCTTTTCTACATTGTTGCATTATTTTCTAAATAAATATAAGTGTCATGTGTGATTTGCTCCGTTTGTTGAGTTCGCTGAAGTTCTGTGATTTGAAGTGCCGCTATTACAGAATAGTTATTCCGTTCTATCCTAGGAGGAATTAATCTGTATACCTTGGACAACAGTGAGGGGATTAAATTCCTTAAGGACACACTGTGAATTCAGTGGGCTCGGAATTATTTTACAATGTGTTTATTGAACTAACGTTTGTTTGCTGCTCTGATTTTCTGATTTTGAACACAGTAATACCAACAATTAGTCATATAACTATAACTAAAAACATCTGTAATGGGTCAGATAAGAATTATTGAATTTCGATCCGCATACACATACTAAAAGAAGAATAAAATCAAACTAAATACAGAATCTCCATCATGATGTCACATTAACCTACAATAATTATGCTCTTTTAAAGAATATTAGCAACAAAATACTAGTAGAAAATGACTTTCTCATATCAAACACAGTATGACAGGAGAGGAGTCAGAGCTCTGACTTACGGGTTCGACAAAACCCAATAATTTCGGTACAGACTCGGTACTTGTGCTAAAAAATCTATTTATTATGTATAAATAACTAATTCAGAACCCGCTAATTTAGAATCTATAGACGGCACCAATCAAACTCTAGATGCAGCAATCCAAAATGAGTGAAGCATAAACAGAATGATATGTAAATTGTAAAATAAGAGAAGCACCTTAATTAAAGCAGAGATCTCTCTCTTGGAAGCTCTTGAATGCGTTTGCCTCACTAATAAGAGAGAGTAATGATTTTTTCTTTTTCTTGGGAAGTTTCCGGTGAAGAATAATGTGAATGAGAGCATTTTTCTTAGTTGAGGTGTAATTACATTATCTCCTCTCTATATTATATTGTTGTTATTATTATTATTATTATTATTATTATTATTATTATTATTATTATTTATTGACTCATGTTAAATATTATTCATCAACTGTGGCTGGCCTCTACTTAATTAATGCCACTAATCATGGAATATTTTTATTTGCATATGGTTTTCTTAATATTGGGTTAACGACAGTAGTTTTTGCACAGTCCGTGTATATATATACTTACTCCGTTTCAATTTATGTGAACATGTTTGGCTGGGCATGGAGTTTAAGAAAAAATGAAAACTTTTAGAATTTGTGGTCCTAAACAAGTTAAAAAGGGGCCCAGAGTATTTGTGTGTATATATATACTTACTCCGTTTCAATTTATGTGAACATGTTTGGCTGGGCATGGAGTTTAAGAAAAAATGAAAACTTTTAGAATTTGTGGTCCTAAACAAGTTAAAAAGGGGCCCAGAGTATTTGTGTGTATATATATACTTACTCCGTTTCAATTTGTGTGAACACGTTTGGCTGGGCATGGAGTTTAAGAAAAAATGAAAACTTTTAGAATTTGTGGTCCTAAACAAGTTAAAAAGGGGCCCAGAGTATTTGTTGTTAGTAGACTGTATTTGTAAAATAATTCTGGAAATATAAATGAGTATAAACAGAAATGAACATAAACAGAAATGACATAAAACCAATTCGAGCCCACTGAATTCACAGTGTTTCCTTAAGGAATTTAATCCCCTCCTAGTACCCAAGGTTATGGATTATTTCCTCCCAGGATAGAACGAATTACACACTGGTGTAGTGGTACTTCAAACCCCAGTGTTTCAGCGAACACAAAGTTCGGTAGCAAATCACACTTACTTTTTGCTTTGTTTGATGCTAAAAGTATGCAGAAGAAGGAGAAGAAACTCAGAAAATCATAGTGAAATTCTGAGCAGAATAGTGTTGTATTTATAGCCAAAGTTAGGCTGAAATCTGAAGAGGTGCAACTCTTCAGAATGGCTGTTTATGCAAAACGCCCACAGCATAAATGCCATTACATAAATGGCCATTTACTCAATAATAATGTTACCAAAAAGTTAATCAATCAATCGATCATTTGACCAAATCCGAATCCGAATCCGAATCCGAAGCCGAAGCCGAAGCCGAAGCCGAAGCCGAAGCCGTAGCCGTAGCCGAAGCCGAAGCCGAGCCGAGCGAGCGACGACGACGACGGCGCGAGGCTTGCCTTCTTCTCAACTCTTTAAGAGCTAGAAGAAGAGCAATTGCTTATATACCCATAAAAAACCTCTTCCTCTTCCAATATGGGACAATGCCCATTTGCCAAGGGGGGGAACTTGAAATTTCACTCAAAAAATTTTATTTCCCTCCATTTCCCATTCACCCTCTTTTAAGTATTTAATATATTAATTAAACACATCCAAAACCCAACAATCCCCCACATGAATGGGGAATGGCTATATTACGGAAGTATGCATGAAAAACTGTGTGATTCGCAAGTAAAGATTAATTGCATCTGGATAAGTAGGTTTCCCTTTGAACTTTCCGTAGTGAACTTATGTCGGATATACTCGATCAATCTGTAGATTTGATATCTTTGAACCGTCGAACTTTAGTGTATACCTAGACAACCACAAGTCACACAACCAACCCTTAACCGTCTTTGGTTCTCATTGTTGTGTTCTTTTCAGCCATGAACACCGCCTGGTTTCATAAGTGCGTAGAGAACTGGCCTTACAATGTTCTCCTTGAAGCGGCTAACACTTCACACTTACATAGATGATTCCTAAACGTGTCATCCCGTAGATACACTATTTGATATACCCCGTATCAAATTTAGAAATCATTAAAAAGCCTTAATGCTTTATCCTTGGTACTGAACATTGTCTCATCACGAGAATGGACCAAAAGTTTAGTTGACAATGTTGAACCGTCATAAATGACTTTGTTTGATCTCCTTGAACCTAGATCTTGGGATCTCCAGTCTTCTAGGTGGAGTTACCGCCACTATGACTTGTTCTCGGCCACAGTCCCATCCCCTTAATGACTTCTCAACTACCTCTCTAGTTAGGCCTTTTGTAAGTGGATCCGACACATTATCACTTGACTTTACATAGTCAATCGTGATAATTCCTCTAAAGAGTAATTGTCTAACGATTTTATGTCTTCGTCGCATATGGCGAGACTTACCGTTATACATAACGCTCCTAGCCCTTCCAATTGCTGCTTGACTATCACAATGTATGCATATTGGTTCCAACGGTTTGGGCCAAAATGGAATATTTTCCAAGAAATTTCGGAGCCATTCAACTTCTTCACCGGCTTTATCCAAGGCTATGAACTCAGCCTCCATTGTAGAGCGGGCAATACAAGTTTGTTTGGATGACTTCCAAGATACCGCTCCTCCACCAATAGTGAATACATATCCACTTGTGGACTTGGAATCAATTGATCCGGTGATCCAATTTGCATCATAGTATCCCTCAATGACCGCAGGATATTTATTGTAGTGCAAAGCAAAGTCCTGGGTATGTACTAAATACCCCAAAACTCGTTTCATGGCCATCCAATGAGATTGGCCTGGATTGCTCGTATATCGACTCAATTTACTTATAGCACAAGCTATATCTGGTCGTGTACAATTCATGATGTACATTAAGCAACCCAACACACGAGCATAATCCAATTGTGATATGCTCTGGCCTTTGTTCTTTGCTAATGCAAGATTCACATCAATTGGAGTCTTTGCAACTTTAAAGCCCAAGTGCTTGAATTTTTCAAGTACTATCTTAATATAATGAGATTGTGACAATGCTAGACCTTGAGAAGTCTTATGGATCTTAATTCCCAGAATTAAATCAGCAACTCCCAAGTCTTTCATATCAAACTTGCTAGTTAGCATACGCTTGGTAGCATTTATGTTGGCAATGTCATTACTCATTATAAGCATATCATCCACATATAAGCAAACAATGACTATGTGATTTGGAACATTTTTGATATACACACATTTATCACATTCATTTATCTTAAATCCATGTGACAACATTGTTTGGTCAAATTTAGCATGCCATTGTTTGGGTGCTTATTTTAATCCGTAAAGGGACTTAACAAGTCTACATACCTTCTTTTCTTTACCTGGAACCACAAACCCTTCAGGTTGTTCCATGTAGATTTCTTCCTCCAACTCTCCATTTAAGAAGGTCGTCTTAACATCCATTTGATGAATTTCAAGACCATAAACTACAGCTAACACTACTAACGTTCGTATGGATGTAATTCTTGTAACTGGAGAGTATGTATCAAAATAGTCAAGACCTTCTCGTTGTCTATACCCTTTGACTACAAGTCTTGCCTTATACTTGCCAATAGTGCCATCATCTTTCATTTTCCTCTTAAAGATCCATTTAGAACCCAACGGTTTATTTCCAGGAGGAAGATCAACCAATTCCCATGTATGGTTGTTCAGTATGGATTCTATTTCACTATTGACTGCCTCTTTCCATAACAATGATTCCGAAGAAGACATAGCTTCTTTAAATGTTTGAGGCTCATTTTCCAATAAGAAAGTCACAAAATCTGGTCCAAATGAAGTAGACATTCTTTGACGTTTACTACGTCTTGGATCCTCCTGGTTAAGTGTACTTTCTTTTGTTTCTTCCCGAGGTCGTTTAGATCCTTCACCAATCGACTCACATTCCTTTTTATGCGGATATACATTTTCAAAGAACTCAGCATTATCTGATTCTATAACCGTATTATTATGAATGTCGGGATTTTCTGATTTATGAACCAGAAATCGATATGCTTTACTATTAGTCGCATATCCTATGAAAACACAATCAACGGTTTTCGGTCCTATTTTTACCCTTTTGGGTTTAGGAACTTGCACTTTTGACAAACACCCCCACACTTTAAAATAATTCAAGTTGAGCTTCCTTCCTTTCCATTTTTCATATGGAATGGATTGTGTTTTGTTATGGGGTACTCGATTTAATATTCGGCTAGCCGTAAGAACGGCTTCCCCCCACAAGTTCTGTGGCAAACCAGAACTTATCAATAATGCGTTCATCATCTCCTTTAATGAACAATTCTTTCTTTCTGCAATCCCATTGGATTGGAGCATGTAATGGGCCGTTGTTTGATGAATAATTCCATATTCTAAACATATTTGTTCAAAAGGAGATTCATATTCACCACCCCTATCACTTCTTATCATTTTGATTTTCTTATTAAGTTGCGTTTCAACTTCATTTTTGTATTGCTTGAATGCATCTATTGCTTCATCTTTACTATTAAGTAAGTAAACATAGCAATATCGAGTACTATCGTCAATAAAAGTTATGAAATACTTTTTTCCACCGCGAGATGGTATTGACTTCATGTCACAAATATCTGTGTGAATTAAGTCTAAAGGATTTGAATTCCTTTCAACCGACTTATAAGGATGTTTAACATACTTAGATTCCACACATACTTGACATTTTGATTTGTCACATTCAAACTTGGGCAATACTTCCAAATTAATCATTTTCCGTAAGGTTTTATAATTGACATGACCCAAACGTACATGCCATAATTCATTTGACTCAAGTAAGTAAGACGAAGCTGAAATTTTATTATTATTTTCAAAAACCATTACATTCAGCTTGAAAAGGCCCTCAGTGAGGTAACCTTTTCCTACAAACATCTCATTCTTACTTATTACAACCTTATCGAAAACAAAAACACATTTAAACCCATTCTTAACAAGAAGTCCAGTAGAGACTAAATTCTTCCTAATCTCGGGAACATGAAGGACGTTGTTCAAAGTCACCACTTTGCCGGAAGTCATTCTGAGAAATATTTTCCCATATCCTTCAATCTTCGCCTTTGAAGCATTTCCCATAGAAATCGTATCATCGGGTCCAACGGGAGCATAAGAAGCAAAAGCTTCTCTAACAGCACAAACATGGCGAGTGGCTCCAGAATCAATCCACCACT